GTCGGGAGCGACGGCGCCAAGGAGGAGTGGAAGCAGGTGAGTGGGGGGGGGTGGGGGCGTTTTCATTTGGCTCCTAGTCAAAAGAGGCTCCTTCTTGGCCACCCGCCAAGGGGTTCCCCGGACGGCCGACGTCGCCCCCACGTCATTCGCTTCGAGGCCGTAACCCTCGCGCCGTATCCCGGCGGACTTAAGCGCCCTCGCAGTCGCTCAGCGCCGCTCGAGCGCCAGTTGGCCGCCCATTAATGACGCGCTCACTAATCCGCGCGTCATTAATCCCCCCCCGGGGCTCAATCGGCTTTTGCGGCTCTCCGTCATCACTCGAAGGAGCTGCAAGAGCGGCCCGTCCGATCCGCTTCGCTTCGGCAGGCCGTCCTGCCGAAGGCGCTCCGAGAGACCGACGTAAAAGAGCCGCGACGGCCGCCTGAGCTTTTGCCGTCTCCAGCGGCTTGGTTCCATCAAAGCGGCACTCGGCGGCTCCAACTTGAATCTTGAAAGTCAATGCGTTCTCCTTTGCTCGGCGTGCGAGGACGCCACGTGGCCACTTCCGACCCCGCCCCCTCCACAACGGGACGTTTGCACCCGTTCGCTCTCAGAAACGGCCCCCTGAGGGCTCGCGGTCCGTTTAACGTGACCCCCAAAAGCTCACGGATGAAAACCAAGGACGCTTACATTGACTTTGTAGTTATCCAGATGGAGCTTCGGCTACTTTTTTTTTGAACATTTTTGTCTATTTCATTTTGTTCATGACGTTGTTTTTTTTTTCTTCCAATTTCGGATGTCGTCATTTCGTGTGTTTTTGCAAATTGCAATCACTTTGGTGCATAGAGCCGTTCATTCCCTCGCCAAGCCTGTCCCGGCTGACTTTTAGTCCCTCGTCAAACGCCGCGCTCGCCGCAGTCGGCCCAAGGGACGAACCCGGCGCCGCCGTGCCGCGTTTTCGCAGATCCTGGACCTGCTGTGGAGCGACCCCATGTCGCAAGACGGCTGCATCCCCAACGAGCTGAGGGGCGGCGGATGCTACTGGGGCCCCGACGTCACCCGCGACTTCTTGAGCAAGCACAACTTGCAGCTCATCGTACGCTCGCACGAGTGCAAGCAGGACGGCTACGAGTTCTGCCACAACCGCAAGGTGAGCGACGACGACTCGGACCCCGACTCGTCCCGCGTTCGGGGCTCCGGCTTGGCCTCGACGCCGTCGAAAGCGCTCCCCTGCCCGAATTCCCGTCCTTCCTCCTTGGAAGTGCGTCGTATTCCTCCCGGCGGTGCGTTCTTTTCGTTTCGCAACATGGTGACGAGCTTTTTCCCTTTGACGCCGAGGTCCTGACGCTCTTCTCGGCCTCCAATTACTACGACGTGGGGAGCAACCGAGGGGCCTACGTGAAGCTGGGGCCCGACCTGCTGCCTTACGTGGTGCAGTACCAGGCCAGCAGCATGACCAGAGAGCTCACGGCCCAACAAAGGTAGCACCGGCGCCGGCTCGTGCCTTCCATCGGGTCTTTTCCAACTTTGTGGGTGCGGGGACCCCTCACAGGGGAGATGTTTGTTGATTGATTGATTTTCTCCTGCCACAAACTCGTGCATCATCTTAACGGCAACACAACTGCCGTGCGTTTCCCGAGGTGCCGCGGGAAATAAAACCCAACTTATTTTCAAAAGAAAAAAAAATTGAAACCACGGTCTTATAGTAGCAAAGGAATATTTCTTCTCGAAAGATGTTGGTGTACGAATGAAGTCCTTTTTTTTTCAATCAAGAAAAGCCATCGTCTGTACAAGATGCAAAACGTTTTATCAGGATGAAAGTCAGAATCGAAATAGAATCAAGTTAAAACAAAAAAATCTTGACAACAACAAAGGTGTGTTTTTGTGCAGAACATGGAATCATACAGGAAAAAAAGCTCAAACTTTTCCAAATAAAAGTTAATCAAGTTAGCCCACAAAAATAAATTGAGATTTTTTTCGAGAAGACTTGCCATGGAATTCATTTTATTGTCAGTCCGCAAACGTAGAATGCAACCGAAAGCGGCTTCGTTCCAGCGGTCACGCGTCTGTAAAATGAAAGAAATGGAGGCGAGGCTCTGTGATACGATACGAAGGTCATTTTCAAGGAGAAAAATCCTGTCGCAGTCTTGGCAAGAACAAGCTGCATTTTGTCGGGATTGAAAGGAATCCTCTTCGATGGGGGGTTCCTCCCCAAAACGAAGTCCATGTGGTACAAAATGTGTATTCTTTAGGGGAAAAATTGTAAATTGTATTCTGAAATAAAAAAAATGTAATTTTTTTTCAAGAACAAGGGCATGTTTTGCCCGCAGCAAAAGTCGTCATCGTTACAAGGATGAAACTGCATTTTTCCAAGCTTAAATTGCAGTATCGTGTCCCTAAAGTCAAAGCCTGACGTGGCAAGAAAGTCCTCGTTCAACAAGTCATCCGTCCATCCGTAACGCGAAGCGCTTTGTCCTCACGAGGGCTAACTCGAAAGGAGCGTTTTGGACGCGCGGCTGATCCGATTTCTTGGTCTCGCGCAGCGTCGGGCAGACGGAGCGCTCCGCCCTCAAAGTCCTTCGGGAGCAGCTCTTTTCCCACAAGTCGGACCTCGTTTGGGCCTTCAAAGCGTTTGACTCCGACGACACGGGTGAGTGTGGCCTTTTGCTTTCTCAAATGCGCCGAGCTTTCCTTCCCGCTCGCGCCCGAAGCTCAGCGTCGAGCCGTCGCGGCTGCTCTCAACCGAGCCGTTTGCAGTTCGGACCGTGAATCGCAAGCCGTCGCCATAAAAGATGATGGCGCTCACCCAAAAGCACATTCGGGGACATGCTCGCCGATTGCCAGAAAGGCCGTTTCAAGTTTGGTTGGCCAACATCAGACAGACGTTGAGCTTCATTCACTCGGAATGTTCTTCCTGGCTCGCCAAGTTGAACGCATGTGCAAAATCGCCAGAGGATTCTTGACTCGGGCGGTGGCCGATCGTGCCACCGTGCGCATCTTCGTCAGTCAAAATTCCTTTGTTCCCATTAGCATGTTGTTATTTTCTCCGGAAAATGCATTGAGAACAGGGGTCTTAAACTCGGGTCCCGGAGGGCCGCCGTCCCGCACGTTTGCCGAGTCTCCCCGTTGCAACGCACCCGATTCGCATGATCGGATCATCAGCGAGCCCCGCGGAAGCCCGACATTGAAGCTGTTCATTTGAATCGGCTGTGTTGCAACAGGGAGACTTGGAAAACATGCGGGACGGCGGCCCTCCGGGACCCGAGCGTGAGACCTAAGATTTAGAATGTTTATCAGCGGAAACTGTTTTCCCAGTCTTGTGTTTGGGCCTAGTGGGCACATCGCTATCCTGTATCGGTCGATGTCCGAGTACAGACGGCAGGGTGAGTCGCGTGATTGAGGAGCATGCCGCCCCACGTCTTGACGGCCGCTTAGGTCTGCTTTCGGTGACGGACTGGGCGACGGCGGTGGAGAGCGTGATGCGACTGGGCCTTCCCTGGCGGATGCTGCGCTCTCAGCTGGTCGGCGGCAAGAGCGGCGACGGCCTCATCGACTACCGGCGCTGGTTCGACGAGCTCGCCATCAAAGGGGCCGACGCTGACGTAAGGGCCTTCGTACCCGCCCACGTGCCGCCCGTACGGCGTGACCAACGTCGACGGCGGTGCTTGTCGTTCCGCGCTCAAGTTCTTTATGAACGTTGCGCCAATTTTTTCACGTTTCTCCACCGACTTCAAAACTCCGGCGCTGTTTTTCCAGTGCCCAAATCTTTGTTTTCACGGTCCAATTCTCCAATGAGGAGGAGACGCGTTCCGTCTTTATCTCCCGCGTGCAAGCGTTGTAGCTTCAACTCACTTCAGTTCTTCCATCCATGGTCTTCTGTTGTTGTTCTGTCACAATGGCGTCTTTTCCCACGTAGCATATCGACCAGTGTCTGCTTGAGACCTTGTACCGCCATCGCTCCACCTTGGAGACCATCTTCAGGATCGTCGACACCAATAACTCAGGTCCAATACGCACACGCATGACATCATCATCATCGTCATCTGTGTATCATGTGATGCGAGACGTGCATGTCAACGTGCGATGCGCTAATCCGTCGGTGACGTCCTCTGGGATCCTCCCGATTAAGACGGCAGATTAACCTACTGATTGGCTGTTCTTCACCTTCTCCGTGGACACACAAGCATTTCTTTTGTTCTTTTTTGTCTCCTCTTGCTTTTTTGGGCCCGCTCAGAAACGTCAGTCACCGTATTCCACCTGAAAAGAGGATCATTTGGGCCCCAAGTCACTGAAACGCTTTACTTGTCCGATATTTATCATTTGTGGCACCGAGCGGTTCCTGATCAAATTGCCCACTTGCTTAGGAGGGAAGGAAAGGTAGGTAGGTAGGTAGGTAAGTCGATAGCTTGCTACATGCGCACAAGTAGATGTATAGTCACCCTCCACCCGTTTTCTACTGCTTATCCGGGTTGGGTCACGGGGCGGCAGCTTTAGCAGGGAAGCCCGGACTTCCCCCTCCCCAGCCACTTCTGCCAGCTCTTCCCGGGGCATTCCCAGGCCAACCGGGTGACACAGTGTCCCCAGCGTGTCCCGGGTCGTCCCCGGCCGGGGCCTCCTGCCGGTGGGACGTGCCCGGAACACCTCACCGGGGAGGCGTTCAGTAAGGCATCCTCATCGGATGCCCGTGCCACCTCACCTGGCTCCTCTCGACGTGAAGGAGGAGCGGCTCGACTCGGAGCCCCTCCCGGATGACCGAGCTTCTCGCCTTATCTGGAAGGGAAAGCCCGGACGCCCTGCGGAGAAAACTCATTTCGGGCGCTGGTATCCGGGATCTCGTTCTTTCGGTCACGAGCCGTAGCTCGTGACCGAAAGATGAGGGTTGGAACGCAGATCGACCGGTAAATTGAGAGCTTCGCCTTTTGGCTCAGCTCCTTCTTCACCGCGACAGAAAATTAGTCAATTTGACAACCGAAATTACTCAAAACGAAATGTCAAAAATCCAGCGCATGGACCTGAAAAGTTGTCCCAAATGACTTGAAAGCCAAAATGCTTCCTAAACAAGAATCTGGCGAAACAAGAGCGACTATGGACATGGACAAGAGGTCTCGAAAATATCACTGGAGCATAAGCGGTGAGCAAGGTCAATAATCTGACGAGAGACTGATTTAGGCAGCTCGGCAGTCCTTAAATACATTGCTGGCTTGATTGGCAACAAGGGCTCGGTGCGCCTGTTGAAGATGCACGCCCTCTACTGCAGCTGGTGCTGAAAAAAAAAAAACAGACAAAGCAAAGCCATGACAATGTGTGCTTGGTACGTTGTTGGCTAGCTAGCTAGCTACTTAGCTTTGTAGCTGCTAGCTAGCTCACAAGAGAGCTAGGAGGGAAAGGGAATAGATTGGTAGGCAGTAGGGTGTAGAGGTGGTGAACCAGGGAGCTATTTTTGCTCAAGCTGGGACAAAGGTGGGTAGAGCCGGAGCCATCTTGATAGGTTGCTTGGTGGGGAGTTAGCTTGCCTGTCAGATGGTGCTTGGCTCCAAAAGTCAGTAGATTTGTCGGCAGTGACGTGGCTGGCTAGCTAGCTCCATATGTAGGTCGGGAAATAGGCAGATACTGTAGGTTGGGAGCAGGCTAGGTCAATCAAGTACATCGGGATTTACTATCCATATGTATGGAGACTGATTGGCGGGTAGTCAGACCCTCACTTGTGTCAAAAGCAATACTCGCTCTCCGTCAAAGTCAGATTTGTGTCGAATTGATCGATTTGGCAGGATCTCGGTATGCTGCTTTGACATGATGGTTTTATGCTCTGGATCAAACAAGCCTTTCTTTCTTTCCCAGGTTTCATCTCACCCTCGGACTTCCGTCAGACGTGGAAGCTACTGAGCGTGTACCTGAAAATGGAGATCACGGACGAGGCCATCTCAGAACTGGCGGTGGCCATCGACAGCAACCGTGACGGCGCCATCGACATTGACGAGTTCATGGAAGCCTTCCGCCTCACCGACAAGAAGAGTCGGCTGGAGAGGGGGCGCAGCATGTTCATGGCCACCGCGCCCGATCTTGCCGCGCTCGACCCAGACGAACGCGTGTGACCGACCGCATGTGTGCAGCTCACGGCTTGTCAAGGTCATCTTTATTGTCAAATATGCTTTATGTATGACATGCAGCATAGATGAAATTTCTTCCTCTCAATCCTCTGTGCAAACACGCATGCGAATTGAAGTCAAAATTTGAGGTGCAGGCCAGAGGAAAAACAAAACTTTTAAAACTAAAATTACACAGATCGGAGGGGGGAAAAAACATTTTGGAAAATTGCAGTGCAGCTTCGGTTTACTCACAGGTCAGGTATTCCCTAATTCACCTATTTGCGTGTTTTTGGGGGAATCCTATCCATCCCCCATGGCTCGTTGAAAACCCCTGCTGATTTGTGGGGTTGTTTGTTTCGTGTCAGGGTTGTCCTATGGAATCACAGATGCTCTCAATCACGCATGAAGCACGCATTAAAACAGAACACAACCAGAGTCAGAACTTGTCTTTTGCAAAAGGGGAAGCAGTCGCTCTGAGCCCGCACTGTGCCACGGGTATGTGGCAGTATTTTCCATTTCATTTTTATCGTTTCTAATCAGCAAGGGTGTCACCATCTTCAAAAAGTTAGAACAACCAATGTGTTTACATATATGTATATATAATATATACATGAAAAATGTGTTCTTTTGAAAATTTTGCAGTGACCCTGCCATACACAAATTTTCACTAATTGTGCAACTGAACAATTGTGAAATCCAAACTGTTTGTGCCCACCTACTGTATGCATTCACTGTACTCGCACGCTCAATCAAATCACATTTGCTGTTAAATCTGCTGCCTAAAAAGTCAAACGTCTCAATTTATTCTTGAGTTATACAAGATACAACCTGGACTGTGATTGGCTCCCGGGTCATGTCGTCGTATCTCCTTTTGATTCAAAAAAGATCAAGTGTTCTTTCAACCCTGCACGCTCATTGTGAACATTGGAAAATGTGAAAGGAAAAAAAAAGTTGAATGTGGACAAGCGCTGTTTGAATGATATGTTACCAAGTGTATGTGTATGTGTACCCTTGAATTTATAATGATTTTTTTAGGCACTAAATGTAAAGGAAATGCACAAAAGTATGCACACGGTGCCTTAGTTAGCAGTATTTGAATGTGCAGTATTCGGTCGCGTCACCGCACGTTCTCGGCAATTGGAGTCTGGAGGGAGCTCTTTGTCACCGTGCCAAGCAGTTCCTCCTGGACCACAAGAGGGAAAGCAACAAACCATGTCATTCGCCCACGCCTTGCTTGTGCTTTAACCACCGAGCTAATGGCCAACGTGGATGGAAGCGCACCGAATGGTTACGTGGCTCATGGGTATATCAAATAATCAATTCTGTTGCTTTGATGTGTTTCAATGTGAAGAAAAGGTCAGAAAGTTGGTGTAGTCTGCCATTCACATTGTATTGAATGAAATAGTTGATCAAAGCCCCAGTACTCTGGGGTTGCCGGCCATCTCCTTTAGCGCCTTCCGGTTGGCGTTGTCATCATCGTCTCTGCGCGTTATCGGCAGATGTAAGCATCTCTAGTCGGCTTGTTTTCTTTGTCATTTTCAAATGAGTTTTCACTGGTTCCGTCTGGCTTTGGATGAGCGCGTGGTGGAGCTAGCGAATGGTTACGTAGCTAATGTGGATGTCAAATAATTTTTGTTGCTTTGATGTGTTTAAATGCGAAGAAAAAGTTGGTGTACTGCGCCATTACCTTGGGTTTTTGGATATGTATCCAAGCACCTGGCACTCCCTGGGGTCGTTGTTGTTTCTTTGTCCTTTAATGTAAATAATACGGGAAGGAGGAGCGGCTCGACTCGGAGCCCCTCCCGGATGACCGAGCTTCTCGCCTTATCTGGAAGGGAAAGCCCGGACGCCCTGCGGAGAAAACTCATTTCGGGCGCTGGTATCCGGGATCTCGTTCTTTCGGTCACGAAAGATGAGGGTTGGAACGCAGATCGACCGGTAAATTGAGAGCTTCGCCTTTTGGCTCAGCTCCTTCTTCACCGCGACAGAAAATTAGTCAATTTGACAACCGAAATTACTCAAAACGAAATGTCAAAAATCCAGCGCATGGACCTGAAAAGTTGTCCCAAATGACTTGAAAGCCAAAATGCTTCCTAAACAAGAATCTGGCGAAACAAGAGCGACTATGGACATGGACAAGAGGTCTCGAAAATATCACTGGAGCATAAGCGGTGAGCAAGGTCAATAATCTGACGAGAGACTGATTTAGGCAGCTCGGCAGTCCTTAAATACATTGCTGGCTTGATTGGCAACAAGGGCTCGGTGCGCCTGTTGAAGATGCACGCCCTCTACTGCAGCTGGTGCTGAAAAAAAAAAAACAGACAAAGCAAAGCCATGACAATGTGTGGTTGGTACGTTGTTGGCTAGCTAGCTAGCTACTTAGCTTTGTAGCTGCTAGCTAGCTCACAAGAGAGCTAGGAGGGAAAGGGAATAGATTGGTAGGCAGTAGGGTGTAGAGGTGGTGAACCAGGGAGCTATTTTTGCTCAAGCTGGGACAAAGGTGGGTAGAGCCGGAGCCATCTTGATAGGTTGCTTGGTGGGGAGTTAGCTTGCCTGTCAGATGGTGCTTGGCTCCAAAAGTCAGTAGATTTGTCGGCAGTGACGTGGCTGGCTAGCTAGCTCCATATGTAGGTCGGGAAATAGGCAGATACTGTAGGTTGGGAGCAGGCTAGGTCAATCAAGTACATCGGGATTTACTATCCATATGTATGGAGACTGATTGGCGGGTAGTCAGACCCTCACTTGTGTCAAAAGCAATACTCGCTCTCCGTCAAAGTCAGATTTGTGTCGAATTGATCGATTTGGCAGGATCTCGGTATGCTGCTTTGACATGATGGTTTTATGCTCTGGATCAAACAAGCCTTTCTTTCTTTCCCAGGTTTCATCTCACCCTCGGACTTCCGTCAGACGTGGAAGCTACTGAGCGTGTACCTGAAAATGGAGATCACGGACGAGGCCATCTCAGAACTGGCGGTGGCCATCGACAGCAACCGTGACGGCGCCATCGACATTGACGAGTTCATGGAAGCCTTCCGCCTCACCGACAAGAAGAGTCGGCTGGAGAGGGGGCGCAGCATGTTCATGGCCACCGCGCCCGATCTTGCCGCGCTCGACCCAGACGAACGCGTGTGACCGACCGCATGTGTGCAGCTCACGGCTTGTCAAGGTCATCTTTATTGTCAAATATGCTTTATGTATGACATGCAGCATAGATGAAATTTCTTCCTCTCAATCCTCTGTGCAAACACGCATGCGAATTGAAGTCAAAATTTGAGGTGCAGGCCAGAGGAAAAACAAAACTTTTAAAACTAAAATTACACAGATCGGAGGGGGAAAAAAACATTTTGGAAAATTGCAGTGCAGCTTCGGTTTACTCACAGGTCAGTATTCCCTAATTCACCTATTTGCGTGTTTTTGGGGGAATCCTATCCATCCCCCATGGCTCGTTGAAAACCCCTGCTGATTTGTGGGGTTGTTTGTTTCGTGTCAGGGTTGTCCTATGGAATCACAGATGCTCTCAATCACGCATGAAGCACGCATTAAAACAGAACACAACCAGAGTCAGAACTTGTCTTTTGCAAAAGGGGAAGCAGTCGCTCTGAGCCCGCACTGTGCCACGGGTATGTGGCAGTATTTTCCATTTCATTTTTATCGTTTCTAATCAGCAAGGGTGTCACCATCTTCAAAAAGTTAGAACAACCAATGTGTTTACATATATGTATATATAATATATACATGAAAAATGTGTTCTTTTGAAAATTTTGCAGTGACCCTGCCATACACAAATTTTCACTAATTGTGCAACTGAACAATTGTGAAATCCAAACTGTTTGTGCCCACCTACTGTATGCATTCACTGTACTCGCACGCTCAATCAAATCACATTTGCTGTTAAATCTGCTGCCTAAAAAGTCCAACGTCTCAATTTATTCTTGAGTTATACAAGATACAACCTGGACTGTGATTGGCTCCCGGGTCATGTCGTCGTATCTCCTTTTGATTCAAAAAAGATCAAGTGTTCTTTCAACCCTGCACGCTCATTGTGAACATTGGAAAATGTGAAAGGAAAAAAAAAGTTGAATGTGGACAAGCGCTGTTTGAATGATATGTTACCAAGTGTATGTGTATGTGTACCCTTGAATTTATAATGATTTTTTTAGGCACTAAATGTAAAGGAAATGCACAAAAGTATGCACACGGTGCCTTAGTTAGCAGTATTTGAATGTGCAGTATTCGGTCGCGTCACCGCACGTTCTCGGCAATTGGAGTCTGGAGGGAGCTCTTTGTCACCGTGCCAAGCAGTTCCTCCTGGACCACAAGAGGGAAAGCAACAAACCATGTCATTCGCCCACGCCTTGCTTGTGCTTTAACCACCGAGCTAATGGCCAACGTGGATGGAAGCGCACCGAATGGTTACGTGGCTCATGGGTATATCAAATAATCAATTCTGTTGCTTTGATGTGTTTCAATGTGAAGAAAAGGTCAGAAAGTTGGTGTAGTCTGCCATTCACATTGTATTGAATGAAATAGTTGATCAAAGCCCCAGTACTCTGGGGTTGCCGGCCATCTCCTTTAGCGCCTTCCGGTTGGCGTTGTCATCATCGTCTCTGCGCGTTATCGGCAGATGTAAGCATCTCTAGTCGGCTTGTTTTCTTTGTCATTTTCAAATGAGTTTTCACTGGTTCCGTCTGGCTTTGGATGAGCTAACATGGATGGATGGATGAGCGCGTGGTGGAGCTAGCGAATGGTTACGTAGCTAATGTGGATGTCAAATAATTTTTGTTGCTTTGATGTGTTTAAATGCGAAGAAAAAGTTGGTGTACTGCGCCATTACCTTGGGTTTTTGGATATGTATCCAAGCACCTGGCACTCCCTGGGGTCGTTGTTGTTTCTTTGTCCTTTAATGTAAATAATTTCCTCATTGTCGTTATATTATGAGTGGACTAAATAAATAAAAATAAGGGCATTTGTATTTATTTGATAAACTTACATTTTTCTTCATGGGGATGAGTTGCATGATGAAATTAATGTTTACTTAGGCTTCAGGACGTCAACTTGTGCAACCGACGATTTGAAGGGTTAAGGGTTAGGGGTTAGGGGTTAGGGGTTAGGGTTAGGGTTTAGGGTTAGGGTTAGGGGTTAGGGGTTAGGGTTAGGGCTAGGGTTAGGGTTAGGGTCAGGGTCAGGGTCAGGGTTAGGGGTTAGGGTTAGGGGTTAGGGTTAGGGTTAGGGGTTAGGGTTAGGGGTTAGGGTTAGGGTTAGGGTTTAGGGGTTAGGGTTAGTTAGGGTTAGGGGTTAGGGTTAGGGGTTAGGGTTAGGGGTTAGGGTTAGGGTTAGGGTTAGGGGTTAGGGTTAGGGTTAGGGTTAGGGGTTAGGGGTTAGGGTTAGGGTCAGGGTTAGGGTTAGGGGGTTAGGGGTTAGGGTTAGGGTCTGGGTTAGGGTCTGGGTTAGGGTTAGAGTTAGGGTTAGGGGTTAGGGT